TTTTTTCCCAAATTGGATTTCCACGTAAATTCTTATGTTCTTGTTTTCTTCTTTTTTATTTCATTATTGCCATTATATTGCGATCCGTTTCATAACACTATTAAACTAGATAAATAATTCATAATGGATTTTTACAAAATTTACTATAAATATTTTCGTTTATAGGTAAAACTCAGATTTGGATGTAATTGGAACAAAAAATGACAATATTATAATGGAATATGAGGTACGATATTATGAGCTAGATATGAAGTGTGAGCCTCAGTTTCAAATGCCTATATTTGCTTAGTTATGTCGACAAATGATCGTAGTTGGAAGGTCAAATACTTATATTATAGTAATAGGTTGACTCTTGTATTGATATTCTGTAATTCATCTAGTTAAGAATTTGTTTTCTCAACCTCCAATGAGAGTGGTTCACAACTTGCTTCTTGTCGTTCACCCAGTTCACCTAGCTCGAATGATGCTCCTCGCAATGGTAATTGCCAAACAAAACAAGTTGCTTGTTATAAACCTTTCCATTCTGACAAATAATGATAAAGCCTTGTTTGGTACTGATTAAAATTCAGATTTTAATTTTAGTTACAGTTAATAATTAATTTTAACCACATATTCCATATGTCTCACAACTCTTCAATCATATATTTTATTAAATTTTTATCAAATTTCTTAAAAATCTGATTTTAATCTCCACCACAAAGGCATAGTGCTCAAAAGCATTTTTTAGCTTTTCAAAAGTCATGCCAAACTTGCCCTCAGTACCTTCGAATTTTTTTCTATTTTAAGAGTTTTTCATTTTGTTTTAAGCACATGGAAATCTTATGTTCTTGCTTCTTAGAAATATTACTTGCAATCGGTTTGTATCTCATGTGAGTGTACATTCCAGTTGTTGGTTCGAGCTTAAAATTTGACTTATCTTGATTGATTATCAGATGAGAGAGCTAATTGTAATCTCTAACGTCTAAGCTGACTTCTTACTTGATCCCTATTGTATATTTCTTGCTCAACTACAAATTAAATTCACATCGACATTGTCTTGACAAGATAATCTAGACTCTAAATTGACTGCATTGAACGACTTGACATTTGGGAACCTTTCTCAAATCATACTTCTACGACCTCAACTCATTTTTCATAGTTTCTATTTTAGCTAAATACTGACTCAACTTTTGATGTAATGTATTTTTGCGGTTTAACTTTGAGACCATTCGTATTGAAAAATATTATTCGTTATTAATTAATCATTTTATTTTTTTGGGAATTAATTTGGAAAGTGTTAATCAATAGAAGATCGATATTAATCGCATTAAAAACACGATTATTAAAGGCCAAATCCCATTTCGTGAATGCTGAGTTTACAGTAGCAGACAAGAATAGGG